TCAATTTTCTTGCACGGTGAGATGTGACGCTTGTTGAAACCACTCGTACATTTGTTAGGCAGCGCTTGGAGTTACCATTGTAGGAAGATTCGGCGATTCCGCTGAAAGGAACGTATGCATGTCGATCCAGTTATACAGCGATTTGGCGATTCTTTCGGTCGCTACGTTCACATTTATTTCAGCAGAACCACCGAATCCCCTACAATGGTAACTCCAAGCGCTGCCTAACAAATGTACGAGTGGTTTCAACAAGCGTCACATCTCACCGTGCAAGAAAATTGAAGGGTTATTGGTTGCCATTTACTATGTGACATTCATAAGAATATTTTTTAGAGTCTAGACATCAACGAGCAGGTTTGTTTAAAGTTAAAGTGCCCAGAGTGAGAGAGCGAACGGGGCGCATCGAGCAGGCCAGCCGCCGTTCGCTGCGGGTCGGCGGCGGTCCCACAGCGCATTGTCCAGTGCGTGACTGCATGCTGCTGGGAGGTACAGCAAGTACTAAGTACTTGTTTGTTCTAATTCATCGATTTCTACATTTACAAATTTTCCATCTATTGCTTCAGAATCGTCGTTCAACCTTCTATCCTTCAATTTATCGAATCACGTCATCCAAATATCGATCGGGTCGTTAACCCGTGAAAAAGTGCTTTCGATTGAGAAAAAAACTGTGTCTCAAGGAAGTACATGTGGATCAATATCTATGAACACCTCTGCATAAGATGGTCTGAAACCTGTAGCATTTCCCTTCGAGACCCATTATTTTTACTGGCGTTCGGTAGGTCATAAAAACCCGGGTATGTTTGTTTGGAAATACAGCTGATGAAGTTGAAAGTTTATCTAACCCATAGATGGCATGACCGTCCTTAAACTCACCTCATTGAGGTTGGTTATGGAAATTTTCAGCTATTAATTCACTGATAAAGATAATGCTTGTGTAACTGGGGTAAAGGTTGGGCCAAGGAATCTGCAGCGGGAACAAGTGCTGTATTTGACCTATTTGGGAAGAGGCCCTAGGAGTGTTGTACCTGAACTCCGTCAAAGTTTCCGAGGCCAGGGTCAGCCCTCATCCGTGAGTTTTCCAGAGGATTATTCCGCCTCCTTTGGAGCGTTGAGCGATTATGTCCTTAGGGAAGACATTAAAAACAGGGCATTCAAAAACCGCTAGTAGGACTAATATAAGCCCAGGAGAGGAGAGTAACCCCAAACAAAAACAAATTGCTCACATCCTCCCCAAGAACCCCTTCTTCTCCCTAGGGCTCAGTCCCATGCACACTAATTGGCTCGCTAACTTGGATGTCCCCCTCCACTAACATAAGCCCAAAGCTTTGCCTCTTTTTTCCGCGTTTTTGGTTGATGTCGTACGAATCTATTCAGGAAGACGAATACGTCCTATTATTGCGAAATTGACTTTGTCAGACGCATCACTGGCCAGTCGTCACCCTCCACCCCTTGTGAATTATTCGATAGCGCCACGACACCAGGCTCTTTTGTCACGAGTCGGAGGTTCTTAGAAAGCGTCTACCTTTCTCTGAGTTTCTTCATAGTTTCATTCAATAAGCTGCTCTTGTTTTCCATTCGTACAATTGGATTTTGACTAGTCTATATCAGGTTCAAGAAAAGGTGCTTCACAAGTTCCGGGGGTTGCTTTTCCATAATTGTTGGTTTTGAACCACATCTCCGAAAATAATCGGGAAAAAATTAAAATGCCATGACCCTGAAAAAAAAAAAGGCGGATAACGGAACATATCCTATGTTTACTCTTCTGTCACAGGCTAACAGGTGTGGTTCACTAGGACAGAAAGCGACTTTTCCTCGTTCCGCAGCGCAAAACATTCATCGCTGCTGAAGCATCGGGTCCACCAGGGCTAAGCTGTTGTGAGATCTAGGTGCATAAGGCGGCGCTGTAACAGCATACGGGTTCATCTCCTAGGGCTAAGTCTAAGAGAGGCAGGAACCC